GCAGACCGCTCGGGATCCCCCTACCATGGTGCCTGGGCTGTGGGCCCTGGACAGGGGGGCGGGGCCTGAGCCTGTGTCCCCACCTGGGCGTCGTGTGTGCATGTGTGCGCGCGCATGCGCCCCAGACTGCTCTGATGGACTATTTGGAGCACGCCTTTTCCAAACTGACCCCAAGTGGCAGGGAGTAAAGTGGGGGCCCGGGAGACGAGCTTGGGGGCCCCCTCCTCGCGAGGCCGGGGTGCCAGAAGGGCTGTGTACCCCGCAGGGCCCCCGGGGGACCGGCGTGCGCACACGAGGGCGAGGGCCGGCGCAGCGCGCGTTCCGGAACCTCCTGTGTGTGTAGATCGTATATCAGCAATAAATGATATGAAGGTGTCCGGCGCCCCCGCTCCCGCCTGTCGTCCCTGCGGCTCAGCAGGCTGAGATCTGAGGGTCGCGGTTCGAAGCCAGCCCGGGCAGGACCGCCCGTGAGACTGATCTCGTCTGCCCGCAGAAAACCGGCAGTGGCGCCGTGGCTGGGGCGGCAGAGCGCCCGCCAGGCGCTGGGAGGGGGGAGGGCCGAGGCGGAAGTCGCTTTCGTTTTTATTAAATATAATCTTGGCACAAATCTTTAAAATATATAAAAGTTATGTATAAACAAAGTGTCGTCATGGCATGAAAATATACTCCGCGCCGGGCCGCAGCCTGCGAGTGGGGCGCCCCGCCGGCCAGCCCCGCCCCCCCACGCACCCTGAGACCCTGCGCGCGGGCTGTCCCATGCGGGCCCTCCCGCGCGCCCGGGACCTCCGGAAACCCAGCCCGGCTCCCGCGCTGGAAATTCTTGTCCCGGGCAGGGGCCGCGGACACGGGGTGCCCGGGACCCAGGGAATGTTAGGGTTGCGTGGAGAAAGGGCCGGCGGCCCCCCCTCCCTCCGCGCGGGGCCTCGGCGCCTCGAGGGGCGCTGGGCGGGGCCAGCGGGAAGGACCGCCCCTCCCAGCCAACAAGGCGCGGCCTGGGGTTCGATGGGGAAGGCCGCGGCCCCCCACCCCGGGCAGGGCGTGGCTGCCGCCAGCCCGCCTGGCCCAGGACGCGGTGGGCACGGAGAAGCGCAGGCTCCTGCGCAGGCGCACGGCGGGGGGGAGGCTGGACTCGCGCGGCGGCCCGGGTGCGGAGCGCCGGTGACCGTCCCGGCCTTCGGGGGCGCCGAGCGCGGGGCGGGCCGGGGCGGGCACGGCGCCCGGCTAAGGCTCCAGGTCCGACATTGCACTTGGAGGGCGCCGGCCGGGGCGGAGACGGCCGGGCCGGGCAAGGGCCTAGCTCTGCAAGTGCCGCAGCAGGATCTGCATGAGGTCGAAGGTGGTGAAGCTGATGCCCACGGCGATGGGGCCCTTGAGCCAGTTCATGCTCAGGCCCTTGTACAGGCCGCGCACGGCGCCCTCCTCGCGCACGATGCTGCGCAGCGTGCCCAGGATGGAGGCGCGCGGGTGGCCCGTGACGCCCGCCGTCTGCATGCGCCGCCGGACCACGTCCAGCGGGTAGGAGGCCGACTGCCCGATGAGGCCCGCGCAGGCGCCGAACACCATGCGCTCGAAGGGGTAGGGTTGCCGCCCGCCGCTGTACTCTGCGGGCGGCGTGGCGGCGTGAGAGAGCGCGCGGGGCCGCACGCCCAGCTCGGCCGCCCCGCGCCCCGCGCCTCTCATGCGTGCGCTCCGCGGTGGAGGCGCCCGGGGCCGGGAGGGGCGCTCAGGGCGGCCTTGAGTCTCCCGGCTGGCCTGCAGCGCGCAGACCGGCGCCCCCTCACCCCTGCGCGTCCCTCACCCCTGCGTGCCCCCCTCCACTCCTGCGTGCCCCTCACCCCTGCGCGCCCCCCCTCCACTCCTGCGCGCTCCCCTCACCCCTGCGCACCCCCCCTCCACCCCTGCGCGCCCCCCTCCACCCCTGCGCGCTCCCCTCACCCCTGCGCACCCCCCTCCACCCCTGCGCACACCCCCTCCACCCCTGCGCGCCCCCCTCCACCCCTGCGCGCTCCCGTCACCCCTGCGCACCCCCCCTCCACCCCTGCGCGCCCCCCTCCACCCCTGCGCGCTCCCCTCACCCCTGCGCACCCCCCTCCACCCCTGCGCGCCCCCCTCCACCCCTGCGCGCTCCCCTCACCCCTGCGCACCCCCCTCCACCCCTGCGCGCTCCCGTCACCCCTGCGCACCCCCCTCCACCCCTGCGCGCTCCCCTCACCCCTGCGCACCCCCCTCCACCCCTGCGCGTCCCTCACCCCTGCGCGCCCCCTCCACCCCTGCGCGTCCCTCACCCCTGCGCGCCCCCCTCCACCCCTGCGCGTCCCTCACCCCTGCGCGCCCCCCTCACCCCTGCGCGCCCCCTCCACCCCTGCGCGCCCCCCTCCAACCCTGCGCGCCCCCTCACCCCTGCGCACCCCCCTCCACCCCTGCGCGTCCCTCACCCCTGCGCGCCCCCTCCACCCCTGCGTGCCCCTCACCCCTGCGCGCCCCCCTCACCCCTGCGCGCCCCCCTCCACCCCTGCGTGTCCCTCACCCCTGCGCGCCCCCCTCCACCCCTGCGCGCTCCCCCCACCCCTGCGTGCCCCCCTCACCCCTGCGCGCCCCCCCTCACCCCTGCGCGCCCCCCTCACCCCTGCGCCCCCTCACCCCTGCGCGCTCCCCCCACCCCTGCGCGCCCCCCTCACCCCTGCGCGCCCCCCTCACCCCTGCGCGCCCCCTCACCCCTGCGCGCCCCACTCACCCCTGCGCGCCCCCTCACCCCTGCGCGCCCCCTCACCCCTGCGCGCCCCCTCACCCCTGCGCGCCCCCTCACCCCTGCGCACCCCTTCACCCCTGCACGCCCCCCTGACCCCTGCGCCCCCCCTCACCCTTGCGCCCCCCCTCACTCCTGCGCACTCCCCCGCCCCCGCGTGCACCTCCTTACCCCTGAGCGCCCCCTCTGCGCCTGGATGTGCCTCCTCACCCCTGCGTGCCCCCCTACTCCTGCGCGCCCCTCCTCATCCCTGCGCGCCCCCCCTCACCTCTGTGCCCCCTCACCCCTGCACGTCCCCCTCACCCCTGCGCGCCCCTCACAGGCCCTGCGCCCCCCCTCACCCCTGCGCGCCCCTCCTCATCCCTGCGCGCCCCCTCACCCCTGCGCGCCCCTCCTCATCCCTGCACGCCCCCTCACCCCTGCGCACCCCCCCTCACCCCTGCACGCCCCCCTCACCCCTGCGCGCCCCTCACCCCTGAGCGCCCCCCTCACCCCTGCGCGCCCCTCACCCCTGAGCGCCCCCTCCGCGCCTGGGTGTGCCTCCTCACCCCTGCGCGCCCCCCTACTCCTGCGCTCCCCTCCTCATCCCTGCGCGCCCCCCCTCACCTCTGTGCAGGCTCTTGAGCGTCTCGTAGGTGAAGAAGCTGAGCCCGGCGTAGGGGATGACGCCCAGCAGGGTGGGCGTGAAGCCGTGGTAGAGGGTCTTCAGCCCCTCCTCCCGCGAGATGCGGATGAACACGTGGAAGATGTTGCTGTACCTGGGTGGGGGGGCTCAGCTCGGGCGCGCCCCGCTGGGTGGGGGAGGGGGCGGCTGGGTGGGGGAGGGCCCCAGGGCGCCCCCCCCGCTGGGTGGGGGTCCGCGGCCCTTCTTCTAAGACCAGAACCCCGTGGCCCTGCTCCGGGCCCTCTGTTGTGACCGCCCTGGACGCATTCCCGCACGTGTCTGTTTTGGGGTGCGGGGCCCCGGGCTCGCCCACCCCCGGGCGGAGGGCACGCGCCCCGCAGGATGTCGCCCAGCCCCCAGCCGCAGGCCCGGCCGGCCCGGCGGCAGGACTCACATCTCCTTCGGGGTCACGGCCATCCGGGCCCGCACCAGGTCCAGCGGGTAGGTGAGGGAGGCGGCAGTGGTGCCGGCCAGCGCGCCGGCCAGGAGGCGGGGCCCGGGGGGCAGCGCCCTGCGGGCGGACAGGGAGACAGGAGCGGCTCAGGCCGGCCCTCCCCCGCTGAGGGGAGGGGCTCCGTGGGCGCCCAGGCCCTTCCCTCTGTGCCCTGAGGTGTATGGGCCGGGAGCTCCGGGGGCGCAGCGGCCGGCACCCCGCCAGCCGGGCTCTGGTGGAGGGGCGCCAGGCGCGAGGCCGACACGGGAAGAGGACGGTGGGAAGACAGAACCGGACAAGGGGGTCAGACACAGCCGGGAGGGGCGGGGCCGAGACCCAGAAGCCGGGGATCTGGGCGGGGCCAGATTTAGAGGGCGGGGCCTTAGAGGGGCGGGGCCCTGCGTCCCGGGCCTGGTCAGTGTTTGGGGGCATGGCTGGGGAATCTGCTGAGAGGTCGGGGTCAGCATTTGGGGCGGGGCATGTGACTAGAGGGCGTGGCCTGCGCTTGGGCTTGGGACTCCTGCTTAGAGATAGGGGCCTGAATTTGGAGCAGAGCTTATGCTTAGAGAGCTTGGAGGTAGCAGCCGGTCTGTTACTGTTAGGGGAGAGGCCTGTGGGCGTGCTCGCCTTTGTGGGCGTAGCCTTGTGTCAGGGGGCGTGGCTGGTGTTCAGGGCCAGATGGTTTGAGGGCGGGGCATTTTAGCGGGGGCGGAGCCTTGTTCGGGACGTGGTCAATTGGGGGCGGGGTCTGCCGGGAAAGGGGCCTCTGTCAGGGGGCGGGGTGTGTTCAGGGCGTGGTCAATTCTGGAGCAGGGCCTGTGTCAGTAGCTGGGCCTGGGCTGGGCCTCAGGGGGCATGGCGGGTGTTCAAGACCTGGATAGTTTGAGGGCGGGGCACTTTAACAGGGGCGGGGCCTGGGCGGGATCTATGTGTCAGGGGGCGTGGCCGGTGTTCAGGGCCTGGATAGGTCGAAGGCGTGGCACTTTAGTAGGGGAGGGGCCTGTGTCAGGGGCGGGGCCTTGCTTGGCCTATGAGTCAGGGGGCGTGGCCGGTGTCGAAGACTTGGATAGTTTGAGGGCGGGGCACTTTAGTAGGGACAGGGCCTGGGCGGGGCCTATGTGTCAGGGGGCGGGGCCGGCGTTCGGGGCCTGGATAGGTCGAGGGCGGGGCACGTTAGCAGGGACAGGGCCTGGCGCCGTGTGGGCGTGGCCGGCGCGCGGGGCGGGGCTCCGCGGGACTCACTCTCCCCGGAAGCCGTAGTAGCGGCCCAGGACGCGCTTGTACTCCTCGTGCGCGCTGAACTGGATGGCGGCGTAGGGCACCACGCGGACCATGGTGGCCGAGTTCCCGCGCCACAGGCTGAGGAAGCCCTCGTTGAGGTAGGTGAAGTAGAGGAGCCGGAAGGCCTCCTGCGGGAGCAGGGGTCAGCGCGGTGGGCCCAGGCCGGCCGGCGGGCGCTGCCCCCGGGGCGCCCCGCGGCCCCGCTCCGGGCGCCCCCGAAGTCGCCCACCGCTTCTCCACTCCCGTCGGGGTGGGCAGGGCAGGGCCTGGTCCCCGGAGGACGCAGCCCTCGCGCAGCCCGGGAGCTCACCTTGGCAGAAAACTTTTTAGAAGACACTGGAAAAAAGAACAAGAGCCCCTGAGAGGCCGGGGCGGCCCGGGCGCCCGACCGGAGCCCGGAGCTGAGCCCGGAGCCGGGCCCGCGCCCCCGCCGCCCGCCGCGGGCCGGGCCGGGGCCAGGGCAGCGCAGGAGTCCGGGAGACACCGGGGCCTCCGTCCAAATACCTGCCTGCAGCCCGCGCCAGCGCCGCGCTCGACGGAAGAGAAACTGAGGCTCTGAGCGCAGCGCCGGCCCGAGGCGGAGGCCGGCCGGGGATGGCGCAGCTCGGGAGGAGAGGGGTCTGTCTGGGGAGCACTGTGTCCCCAGGAGGTACGTCCACGTCCTCAGGCCGGCCCAGGGAAGGGGGCCGAGTGTGGAAATGGGGTGTTTGCATGTGGGGGGGGTTAACAAGGCAAACAGGACAGGGGTCGGAGGACTGAGCCTCCAGGACCCGCCCACCCTCTCCGTGGGGCCAGCCCCGACAGCCTGCTGTGTGGGCACCCGTGAGGCAGCCTCAGGAAGCAACTCCGGCTTTTAAGTGGGTTTCAAAGACTGTGCGCGTGCGCGTGTGTGTGTAAGTACGTACGTGTGTACCTAGGCTAGGCTGCCCCTGAACTCTGGGGCCTCCAGTCCCCAAGTGCCACTACAATCACACAGACACCAGGCCTGGATTCGAGAGTGTGTGTGTGTCTGCGTGTGTGCGCCTGTGCACGCGCGCGCACACACACATATGTTGTTGCTGGGGCTCCAGCTCAGGTCCTGGGCTCTGTCTGTGAGCTATTTTGTTCAAGGCTAGTGTTCTACCCCTACAGCCCAGTTCTACCTCCAGCTTTTTGCTGGTTCATTTGAGATGAGTCTAATGGAGGGCTGGGAAGGTGGCTCAGGGGTAGAGTGCTTGCCTCCCATACATGGGGCCCTGGGTTCAATTCCTCAGCACCACATAAGCAGAAAAACCCAGAAGTGGCACTGTGGCTCAAGTGGTAGAGTGCTGGCCTTGAGCTGAAGAGCTGAGGGACAGTGTGCAGGCCTAGAGTTCAAGACCCACAACTGACCAAAAAAAAAAAGAAAAGAAAAGTGGGCACTCTGAGAGACCACACGGTCTACCCATTGGTGTCTTTGCTTAGAATCTTTATAAACAAAACAATTTTAAAAAAATTGAGGAGCCAGGAAGGTGGCTCAGTGGTAGAATGCTTGTCTTGCATGCATGAGGCCCTGGGTTCAATTCCTCAGCACCACATAAGCAGAAAAGGCTGGAAGTGGTGCTGTGGCTCAAGTAGTAGAGAGCTAGCCTTGAGCTGAAGAGTTGAGGGTCAGCGCCCAGGCCCAGAGTTCAAGGCCCAAGACTGACAAAAACAAAACAAAAACAAAAAGAGTCTAATGGACATTCCTGCCCAGGCTGGCTTCAAACCACAATCCTCAGACTCAGCCACTGAGCAGCTGGGATGACAGGGCTGAGGACCAGCATCCTTCCCAAGAGACACTTTTTTTTTTTTTTTTTTTCCCCAGTCCTGGGGCTTGAACTCAGGGCTGGGCGCTGTCTCTGGGCTGTGTGTGCTCAAGGCCAGCGCTCTACCCCTTGAGCCACAGCGCCACTTTGTATGTGTGCTAGGAAGCACTGCGCACCGCACCGAGCGGCCTTCCCTCCCACCATGGCCAGGCGCGGTTGGGGTGAATCAGCTTTCGCCCGTGCGGGCGGGGAGGCGGGGTGCTGTCTGGCGGGCAGCGGCAGAGGACGGTGGGGGGACGCGTACCTTGGAAGATGATTTTGGTTCGGTCCAGGGGAGCTACCGCGGTCTTGGCGAGTGCTCCGGCCAGGGCCCCCGACAGCAGGGAGCTGAGCACTTGCCGGGGGTCTCTCTGTAACAGAGCACAGACCGGGTTAGTGGGGCGCAGGCAAAGGCACGTCCTCCCGCGGTGCAGGGGGCAGAGGCCCTGCAGCCTGGGCAGGGAGACCCCACCATGCAGGCAGTGAGAGTCGGGGTGAAGGCGGCGTCCAAGGCCTGACCTCGTTCCTACAACTGGGTGCCTGCCCCGTGCGCCTGATGCAGCTCTGGGACAAATGCGCACTGCCCTGCCCAGCCCCATGCTTTTTTTTTTTTTGTCAGTCCTGGGGCTTGGGCGCTGTCCCTGAGCTTCTTTTGCTCAAGGCTAGTACTCTACCACTTGAGGCACAGCGCCCCTTCTGGCCTTTTCTGTGTATGTGGAACCCAGGGCTTCATGCGTGCTGGGCGAGCGCTCTACCGCTGAGCCGCCTTCCCAGCCTCGTGCTTAGCGTCTTGCCAGGAGAAAGAGTGACTTGGCAGCGTGGCCCCCGCTGCGCTCCGTGCTGATCTGCCCTGCAGCTCTGTGGCTGGGAGGCCGCTCGGCCATGCCCCGCCTGGGGCCCACGGGGGCCTCGGCTGGCACCCCCCCCCTGCCGTGTGGCGCTCGCTGGGGGAAAGGGCAGTGGACTTTGAGAGCAGGCGCTGGCCACGCCCTGGAGGGAGGGCTGCCTGCCTCCCTTTGCTGGATCATGTCTTATTTGCTTTTGACAGGGTCTGTGGCAGGGCCCGGGCTGTCTGGTGTCTGCAAGGTGGAGGCTGGCCTTGGGCCTCGGGCCTCTACCCCCCCCCCCCCCAGTGTTTGGCTGGCTCCACCCATGTGGTAGCCCCATCACCAGCAGGACTTTTATTCTGGTGCTAGGATTTGAACTCAGGACTTCACACTTGCTAAGGGAGCTCTGCCACGTGAGCCATGCGTGCTGCCAGCCCTGTTTTGCCTCCGTTGTTTTACAGAGAGGGTCTTGTGGTCTGGCCCAGGGCAGCTTCAGACTGTAATCCTCCCCTGTGCTGGGGCTGTAGGTGAAGGTGCTATTGCGCTTCTTACTGGCTGACATGGGTGGGCCTTCAACTTTTTTCCTGTGGCCCGAGACCGGGACTCGAACTCCATATCTGACATTTTGACTCACTGGCTGGTGCTCCACCATCTGAGCCACGCCTCCAACCCTGGAACCATCGCCGGTTCTCCAGGTCCCCAGTCCCTGGGCTGATAGGGCCTGGCCTTGGGAGGATGGAGGAGGGGCTGGCCGCTTCCTCTGGTGCTGCGTGGCCCTGGCTTGCTCTCAGGCAGTGGAGGAGGGGTGCGGGGGGGGGGGGGCTACTTGCCTTGGAGGAGACGGGCGCGGGCCGGGCCGCTTCGGCATCCTCAGGCGAGCGCACTGAGCCCTCCTTCACGCCACTACCCATCCCAGGCCTGCTCGGTCGGCCGGAGACTCGGTCCTGGGGGACACGGGGTTGATGAGTGGAGGCTGGGCCTGGCGCCCCCAGGCCCCCAGTGCCGCCCCCCGCCCTCCTCCCCCCCCCCCCCCCGGGATAAAGCCTCTCTCGTTCCTTAAAAGAGTTATTTTTGTGTGCATCACCAGGGCTGGGATGAGGACCTCACGCTTGCTGGGCAGGCGCTCTGCCACTGAATCATGTCGCCTGGACTGTTTACTTTTGTGTGTCGTGGGGCTTGAACTCAGGGCCTGGGTGCTATCCCTGAGCCGTTTGGCTTGAAACTAGCACTCCGCCACTTTGAGCTGCAGCTCCATTTCTGGTTTTTAGGTGGCTCATTGGAGATAGGAGTCTCCGGACTTTCTGGAGGAGCTGGGGTGACAGGCGCGAGCCACTGGCTCCCAGACAGACCTTCATTGTTGAGATAGGGTCTCACTTTTTGCCCAGGCCAACCAGTGCTTCATTCCTCTGCTTACACTTCCCGCAAGCTAGGATTACACGCATGGACCCCTGCACCCAGCCCAGTGCTCACTTGACAAGGGAAACGTGACCGGCAGCATGGTCCCGCTGGGCGGCCCGCGCAGCTGGCCGGGCGGGCACTGCACCCACGCCCAGGCCTCCCCGCCAGGGCGCAGGGAATCCTCGTGGGACACAGGGAGGGACAGGCCACAATCGTGGCACTGTGTCCACTGTAATTGTGCTAATCAGGAGCCATGGCCAGCCTCTGCCCGAGATAAAAGCTGTTCAATTTGCTAGTTGGCAGGAATTAACTTGGGCCGAAGAACCAGGTGTTCACCCTGACGGATGGGTGGCCTCTGTGAAGGCAGGCAGGCAGACAGACAGACAGGCAGACAGGCGGGTGGGTTGGGCAGGAATTCTACCTGTGTATTCCTTTCCCTTTCTGTGCCAATCCTAAAGCTTGAACTCAGGGCCTGGCACTGTCTCTGAGCATTTTCACTCAAGGCTGGTGCTCTACCACTTGAACCACAGCTCTACTTCCCTTGAAGATAAGAGTCCCCGGCCTTTCCCACCCAGGCTGGCTTCAAACCGCGATCCTCAGCTTTCAGCCTCCGGAGTAGCTGGGCTTGCAGGCGTGTGGACTAGTGCCCGGCCCCCCTCTTCCCCTCTGTGGTGTCTTTCTGACCAGCCTGGGGTCAGCCTGCGGTGGTCTCTGAGGGCAGATGCAGGCAGCTGGGCTCCTGGGGGCTGGGGAGCAGCCCCCCGCTGGGTGTCCAGCCCTCGCCCCAAAGCCTGTTCTTGCTCTGGGCTAAGGTGCTGTGCGCCTCGGCACATGTCACCAGTTACTTGCCAGGTGGACAGGCAAACTCCCCGAACATGCCAACTTCTGCTTCCTTTGTACTCTCATGCTGGCAAACTCCTCCACATCCTTCAAAGCCCTTCCCCAAAGCTGCAGCTTCACCTGTCACAAGGTTAGCTTCAATGACAGGCCTCAACCCCCCCACCTCCTGCACACACTGATCCCCAGACACCTGTCCCTGCACAAGGCCCCTCTCCAGCCACCTGCCTCCCTCCCCAAATGGAAGCATGCCCAGGCCTCAGGGAGGCTGGGCTGTCACCAAGCCTCTCTCCCTCAGTTTCCCATCAGCCACTGCCTTCCTGGGCTGGGGATTTGCAAGCCAGCAATGGGTGCTGTGGAGCTCAGGCCAGGAGACTCATGACTGCAACGCCAGCTCCTCGGGAGGCTGAGGCCTGGAGGATTGAGGTTGGAACCCGGCAGGACAGCCTGAGTCTCCATCTCTAACGAGCCTGCTAAAGCTGGGCACTGGTGGCTCACGCCTGTCATCCTAGCTACTCAGGAGGCTGAGATCTGAGGATTGTGGTTCAAAGCCAGCACAGGCAGGAAAGACCGTGAGACTCCTATCTACAATAAACCACCAGAAAACCGGAAGTGGCGCTGTGGCTCAAGTGGTAGAGCGCCCGCCTTGAGCTGAAGAACTGGGGTGAGGGACAGCGCCCAGCCCAGAGTTCAAGACCCATGAACGATTAAAAAAAAAAAAAGAAAAAGAAAAAGAAAAGGCCTGCTAAAGGCGTGCTCAAACCAAACCCTGCTCCAAACCAAAACACAAGTCCCCCGCCACGCTCACGGCGGGGGCACTGCCCTTCCCCAAGGACCTGCTCCTGCAGGCATGGCCAGGGCTGGGCCTTCCAGGCCTCCTCTGGCTTGCCGGCTGCCACCACACAGGCCCTCGTGTCCGCATCCCCCTCCGCTAATTGGACTCTGGTCACCCTGGGACATCCGAGCTTTATTACAGTGTAATAAAGGCGAGAACAGAGGCCTCCCTCCGCCTCCCTCTCCTCCTCTCCCCCCAGCCGGGACTCTGCCGAGCCCTGGCGTCCGAGCGCGGGGCACAAGGCAGCTAAGACCGCGGCCACAAAAGATGCCTGGGAAGGAAGAACATGTCCACAGCACTTTTTAAAAATAGACAGTGACAGGAGGAGGTCAGCCTGGGGACAGGGCTGGCTTTTCAAAGTTAATTTTCTAATGGAGTCTTGCTGCCTGGGCTGGCCCAGACCACAGTTCTCTCATTCACATGTCTCCCGTACCTGAGATGACAGGCATGCACTACCGCACCCAGCTTCTCACTGGTTGAGATGGGGTCTCTCACGTTTCCCCCAGGTTGGCCTGGAACTATGATCTTCCAGGTTTCTGCCCCCTGATAGTTTAGGATTACAGGCATAAGCCATTAGCTCCTGGTGTGATCTAATTTTTTTTTGTTGTTGTTAATGTGTGTGCCAGTTCTGGGGCTTGAACTTGAGCCACAGCTCCATTTCTGGCTTTTTGGTGATTTAATTGGAGATAAAAGTCTCACAAGACTTTCCTGCCCGGGCTGGGCTGGCTTTGAACCGCAATCCTCAGATCTCAGCCTCCTGAGTAGCTAGGATGACAGGCGTGAGCCACCGGCGCCCGGCCTAAGAGGACATTTCTTCTTTGACACTGTCACCCATTCCCTTGCTCTCTCCCAGTTTTTCCCTCCCATTCCCACCCACAGGTTGTAGGGTTCACTCTCAACATAGTTATTTACTCTTATACTTTTCTTTTTCATGCTATAAACATATATTAAAAATTAGCCCAGCCAGCTCCCTGGCCGGCCTTCAAGACTCTGTGCCTGCCTGCCAGCTCCAGTAATTTAATCAAGTTCTCCCGCACGCGTGCGTGCACTCTCTCTCTCTCTCTCTCTCTCTCTCTCTCTCTCTCTCCTGGGCACTGGTGGCTCACACTCGTAATCCTAGCTACTCAAGAGGCTAAAATCTGAGGATAGAGGTTCAAAGCCAACCCAGACATGGAAGTCCATGAGACTCTTCATCTCCAATTAACCAGCAAAATGCTGGAAGTAGAGTTGTGGCTCACGTGATAAGACAAAGGTATTGAGACAATGAGTTCAAGTCCCAGTACTGGCACAGACTCTCTCTCTCTCTCTCCTTCCCTTCCTGTCTGTCTCTCGCATGCCTGGCAGGCAAGCAGTTACAACTGCACAAAACCCAGCCCCAGCAGTGGCCTCAGAGGTGTGGGGTGTGAGTCTACCTCTACCTCCAGCCCCAGCCACTTGGGGAAGCTGAGGCAGGAGGAAGATCTTTTGAGTTTGAGGCCAACCAGGGCAAAGGTATGTCAAAAACAAAATAGGAACAAAATGCACTGCAGGTGTGACTCAAGTGGCAGCGGACTTACCTGCCCTGGGTCCAAGCTCCAGTAAAATAAATGAATAACTAAATAGACACACCATAGACTACTTTGGGAAGGAAATAAAGAAATGATGAAGAACTGGGCGCCGGTGGCTCACGCCTGTAATTCTAGCTACTCAGGAGGCTAAGGCAGAAAAATTCCTGTGAGACTTTTTTTTGTATGTGTGTGTGTTGGGCGGGGAGGGGGTCATGGGGCTTGAACTCTGGGCCTGGGCGCTGTCCCTCAGCTCTTCAGCTCAAGACAAGCACTCTACCACTTGAGCCACAGCAGCACTTCCAGTTTTCTGGTGGTTCACTGGAGATAAGAGTCTCACAGACTTCCTTGGCTGGGCTGGCTTTGAACTGCGATCCTCAGATCTCAGCCTCCTGAGTAGCTAGGATGACAGGCGTGAGCCACTGGTGCCCAGTCCTGTGAGACTCTTGTCTCCAATAAACTACTCAGAAAAGCCAGAAGTGGCACTGTGGCTCAAGTGGTAGAGCACTAGCCTTGAGCACAAAGCGGCTCAGGGACAATGCCCAGGCCCTGAGTTCAAGCTCCAGGACTGGAAAAAAATTATGACCAGTGGGCAAATCCACAGAGAAGGTGGACAGAAACTGTGTAAATAGTAAACTTGTGAACTGCATATAAATCAACAACATATAGACTAGATATATATGCTACACCTACGTATCCTATACACACACGAACACGTGCACAATGCATACCTATATGCATCTACACACAAACATTCATGCCCAAACCCACATGTTCTTCTAATTATTATTCTTACTGTCTTCTCTGGCTCCAGAACTGGGGCTTGAACTCCGGGCTCATGCACTGACCCTAAGCTTTTTCGCTTGAGGCTCATGTTCTACTACATATTTCATGGGGGGGAGGGGGCGGTGGCTGGGAAGGTGGCTCAGTGGTAGAGTGCTTGCCTGGCATGCATGAGGCCCTGGGTTTGATTCCTCGGCACCATATAAGCAGAAAAGGCCAGAAGTGGTGCTGTGGTTCAAGTGGTAGAGTGCTAGCCTTGAGCCGAAGAGCTGAGAGACAGTGCCCAAGCCCTGAGTTCAGGCCTCAGGACTGGCAGGGGGAAAAAAAGAGTTACATGGGCTTTCCTGCCTAAGTTGGCTTTGAATCCTCCATTCTCAGATCTCAGACTCTTTTGAGTAACTGGGATTACAGGTGTGAGCCACCAGAGCCTAGTTGGTTTTTCAGGGCTGGAAGTAGTAGCCAAGTGCTCTGCCCCGAGCCACACCCCAACTCCAGCCTATATGTTTTAGATGATCACCTTTAGTCAGTGATGGGAAACCCCAGTGGCTTCAGTTTCCACAGGAGAAGCTGAAGGTGACACGACCCTGAAGAAACTTCTAGCACCATCCCGTGGCAGAGGGAGCCAGGCTGCTCTTTGCAAGCTTTGCAGGAAATGCAGAACACGGCTTTTCAACAATAAAGCCACAGGCCTCCTTCCAGCAGGCAGACACGCATGCACGCACACGCGTGCACACACACACAGATCACACACCAGGGAACTTCACAAGTTCCAGCCCCAGGCTGGCCTGTGGCTTTAAGGGGCTGAATGAAACCTTAGCTGGCCGGCTTTGGTGAACTATTTCCTTGCTCTCTGCTCAGTGAGGCAAGGAGCTCTGCCGGGTCACCCAGGGGCCAAGGTTGGGGTGCACCCCTGTCAGGCCCGGTCACACAGCCCAGATGTGCATCTGTCACCTCCAATCACCCCAGGGCCACTCACGGTCACCCCTGCACTTGAAGAGCCTGGGTGGTGGGGTGGGGCAGATAAATACAACTGAGGAGGCCCAGGAGACTCCCAGAGGAGGGGCCCAGGCTTGAGGAGGGAGACTGTACCAGCCCCCCCCCCCCCCCCAGCAGCCAGCGGCTCCAGGACAGATGCTAACTTGGGGGTCATTTTGCTCCTCTGGCCCAGGGGATTATTCTCAGGCCCGGAAACGACTTTAAGCTGCGGCACCTGCTGTTGCAATGAAGAGGGAAGTGGGGTGGGCTTTTTTTCCCCCCTGGGGGGGCAGAGCACGGTGACCCTGACATCCAGGCTGGGTGGCACTGGTGGACGGGCTGACGGGGTTATTAGAAGCCCCCCCACCCCGGGACGGGGAGAAAGCGGGGGGGGGGGGGAGCAGGGGGGACGGCGGTGCCCACGGTGGGGGGACACCGCCTGGACACGAGGCGGGTCGGTGCGGGAGGGGGTGAGAGGTCACGGGGCCAGGAGGGCGGGTTTGGGGGATCACAGCGCCAGCCGTGGGTGTCGCGGGCAGGGGTCGGTCGGGGATGCGGGGCCCCGCGTCTGGCGTGTGGGGTCGCTGGGCCCCCCGAGCGGGGTGCCGGGCTGAGGGGGCCCGGGGGCGGCGTCAGGCGTCGGGGCGGGGGCCGCGCCGAGGCCGGGTGCGGGGCCGCGGGGGCGCGCGGCCCCGGAGCCCCTGTGACCCCGCGCCCTGCTGTCACGCGCCGCCGCGCCGCCCCCGCCCCGGGGCCCCGCGTCAGGCCCCGCACCCGGCCTCGGCGCGGCCCCCGGCGCCCGCGCCGCCCCGCGCCCCTCGCGTCCCGCTCACCTGCCCGGACGCGTCGCCGCCGCCGCCGCCGCCGCCGCCTCCAGCCGCCACAGCCCCGCCTCGCGCGCCCCCCACCCCCGGCGCGCGCCAAGGGAGGGGCCCACGCCGCGCTCCGATTGGGCGTCCTCTGGCCAATCAGAAATAGAGGCGGAACAAATTGGCGGGCCAGCGGAAGATGGGTGTGTGTGCTAGCCAATCGTTGGCGAGTAAAGGCGGGGTTACCGGGAAAGGCTGCGGCTCTCCCCTGCGTTCCTGCGAGGTGCAAGGTCTTGGGAGGCAAGACCTGGAGGTTGGCGATGATTGGAGTTCTCGTGGAAAATGGACGTCCTTTTTAGCCAGTCGCTGGTGAGCAGGGGCGGGGCTCCAGGGAAACTGAAGCAAGTGGCGGGGCTTAGGCTGGGGAGGGGGGGGGAAACGGAGGGCGTAGCCTGAAGGGCATCAGTGATTGGCTGAAGCGCCTAAGACGGGCAGGCCGCTTGGCCAGTCATAGCAGCCGAAGGCGGTGCATCCCAAGGCAGGGGCCCAGGCGTGCAAGGTGCACCGGGCCAGTGCGGGCGCTCGGGGCGGCCCCGGCGGGCCGAGCCTACCCTCCCTCCGGGAGCACGGCGCGGGAACGGGGCTTCCCACCCTGGCTTGCACTTCGCCGCAGAACTGTTGACTAGCCTCCGCCCCGCCTCCCCGCCGTCCCCCTGCGGATGACACGGGACGCGAACTCGCGTCTCCCCGCGCCGCCTGGCGCCTTCGCCCCGACCTAACCCCAGCGCCTCGAGGCCCGGGGGCGGGGGGTGGTGGTCAGGACCGCTCGGTCAGCATAGGTCGCCTTCGTTGCGCAATCTGGGCGGCCTTCTCTTTGGTGGAGGAGCGGTGACCTGTCCACGCCCTGGCCGGCCTCGGGCTGGGCACTGGGAGCCTCAGTTTCTTCATTTGGAAAATAAGACATGGAGCCGATGGCTCACACCTTTCATCCCAGTTACCCAGGAGGCTGAGGTCAGGACTGAGGTTCACAGCCAGCCTAGGCAGGAAAGTCCATCAGATGCTTTTCCTTTTTTTGGTCAGTCATGGGATTGGAACTCGACCTGGGCGCTGTCTCTGCTCTTTTGCTCCAGGCTAGCACTCCACTACCGTGAGCCACAGTGCCACTTCTAGTTTTCTGGTGGTTAATTGGAGACAACAATCTCACAGTCTTTCCTACCCAGGCTGGCTTCAAACCGTGACCCTCAGATCTCAGCCTCAGGAGTAGCTGGGAATACAGGCCTGAGACACCAACGTCCAGCTTCCAACAGACTCTTTAATCTTCGATCAATCACCAAAAACCAGAAGCGGAGCTGTGGCTCAAGTGGTAGAGCGATAACCCTTGAGCACAAAAGTTTAAGGATGGTGCCCAGGCCCTGAGTTCAACCCCAGGACTGACGGGCACAAAAAGAGTGAGCAAATAAAACAAGACAAGAAAAGAAAGATAGCTCTCTTGTTAATTGAAAAAAAAAAAAAAAAAAAAACAAGACAAGAAGCTGGGGGCAGGGGGGGGCGAGGGGGGGGGGACTCCCTGCCCAATAGTATCATGAAGGAAGGAAGGAAGCTCAGAAAGACAATGGTTTCCTGCCAGGGTGCTGTTCCCAGGCCCACTCAGAGCTCTGACTCATCTGGGCGGACAACCTCACAAATGGGTCGTATTTCCTCTAGGTACAGGCTGAGGCAGGTGGAGATAAGTTCAGAACCAGAGAATCCCAGGAGGGAGCAAGGCTGGGCTTAATTAATCCATCTCACTTTCCCAAAGAACCAGTGTTCTGTAAGGTTGCGTCTCCAAGCTGTGGACCACCCCGGCTAGAAGGCTCACTCCCCAAGGTCCAACTATGATCATACTGCAGATGCCCCCAGCTCTTGAAATTCTCCGTCCTGGGGTTCACTTCCCTGCCACCCTCTTCTGTCCTGGAGGAAGACGCTGGGGTTGGCACATAGCACACCCTAGTGGGTTTGGTTTTGGCTCCATCAACCACAACCTGAACACAGCCAACAGGCTCAGGTCTGCAGGGAGAGGCAGGCCTCTTGGGGAAACCCTCTGTGCTGGGTTTAAATCCCTGCTCCTTTTTGGCAGTGCGGGGACCCGAACGCAGGCCTTTGTGCTGGGCCCATGCTGCACCCCAGCTTCCTGTTAGGTCCCTGCAGGACCGGTAGCAAGGAGCTCCAGCTCCTGCCTCAGTTTCCCAGTGGTGGTTAGGTCCCATGGCGGCTGGTGAAGGCTCTGGGTGGACCCGCCACAGAGGTGTGTGGGAATCTGCTGAGGCCGGACTACCAGTGGAGGGGGAGAGAAGGCCTGGCTCACAGCATCCACCCGCCGGGCCTCAGAAAGGTGCAAACAGAGCTTGTAGAAGGACCGGCGGTGCCCTTAGGAGACACTGCCAACTGGGGCAGGGGTCAGGCAGCAGGCCAGCCCCGGTTGTCTCCATGGGTGGTGCCAGCGGTGTTGGCAGGGCTCTGGCTTTGGCCTGGTGTTCTTGGCAACACCTGGCCTCCTGTGTGTGCGTCCCGGGACTGTGCCCGGTGGGTTCAGTGTGCCTGCCCAGCTCACCCCGGCAGGCACCACCGTGGTCTCCTTGGGTGGGGGTGACTTTTAATGTGGAAAGTGGGGTCCCAGAACTGGCATGGGGGGGCGGGCGTGTCCCATTCCTGGGGTGATACCCTCCCCCGCACTGCAGGGGGCTCTGAGGCAGTGGAGGCGGGGCCTGTACTGCCCAGCACTGACTTGGGCCGGGTGCACGGCCCCCCAGCCCGCTGGCCCCACACAGCCCGGCCATCTCCAGCCTGCCAAGGCCTCACATGGCCCGGCGGCCCGTCCCCCGGCCGTTACACAAGACATGCCCAGGCCAGGGCAGGGAGGACTGATGAGGAGAGCAGCCCTCCCTCCTGAGGGCTGGGGACTCTGCCACAGGGTGGGGCGCTTCCCCTTCCTTCAGGTGAACTTCAAGGCCGCTGCAGGAGCCTAGGGGGCCCCCGGGGGTCAGGCGCTGGCCCTGTGATGGCACAAGACAAGCAGCAGACGACGTCAGCTGACCTCATATGGGGTCAGGACGGAGCACATGACTCCCAGGCCCCGGTGGATCCAGTGGCTCATGGACTGGAGCAGGCCCTGGGGGATCCAGGCATTGGGCCCAGTAGGTGCAAAGGCCCTGGGGGCGGGCAAAGCCCCAGCCATGCTGGCTCTGAGAGGCACGAAGTGCTCTTTGGTATGATGTACGTGGAGGGCACTGGGGCAGGAGCCATGAGTGGCCCAGGAGCGTTCGTACCCCAAGTGACCCCGAGGCTGCCCGGGGCGGGTATGGAAGCTGGTGAGGATCGGGGCGCTCAGGCCTCCTGGGGGAGGGGGAGGAACATGAGGGGCTGCAAGGAGAGACCCAGGGGCTGGGCAGGCAAGCCTGCACCCACGCCAACCCCACTGCCTGCCCACCGGCCTCCACGGGAGGCTGCCTGAGGACAGGGCGGCATGGGGAAGACCAGCACTGTTCCTGGGAAACTGAGGCCCAGAGGGTCCACCCAGGCACCAAGAGCTGCGGCCAGCCTCCTGGCGCAGTCCGGCTTACAGGCATGCTGCTCCCCCTCCAGCCACAGAGGCTGAGAGCTGAGGCTCAGCGGTTCAAGCGCCTGTTTGTGCCACCAGGGGTTGGTGGGAGTCCAGATGTGACCTGCCTGGGGCCCAAGCTGCTCCCAAAGCCCCCAGCCCCCAAGGAGACATGCGAGCCCCTCCGACGTCAGCGTGAGGTTCTTTATTCCCAGGGGCACCTCCACCCCCAGGTGGGGGACGTGATGGGCCACAGACCCCGGCCCCATCTAGTCTGGTGGGGGCGGCCTCCCAGCTTGCAGAGGTGAGGAAAGGGGCAGGAGGGGGGCTGGCACGGCCAGCTGTGGGGGGCCCCGGGGCCGCTGGGCTCTCTGTACTGGGGACCCAGAAGGCCCCGCTGGCCGAGGGGCGCAGGTGGAGGGGGCAGGGGGGCAGGGCCCCCATCCCTGCCTCGGCCCCAACTTGCATGATGCATCCAAGGTCAGGCAGAGGCTGAGTCCGGGTCACAGCACCAGGCTGCCCTTCTGGCCTGTCCACAGCTCCTGGAGCTCGACGCGGCAGCCCAGGTCACGCAGTGCGGCCTTGGCCACGTCCTCGCAGTCGGGGTGGGCGGCCCTGGCTTGCGCAATGAGCGCCTCAGCCCCCTGCTCCAGGAGGGGCTTGGAGAAGGCCGGGCTCCGGGACACCAGGTTGCGGATCAGCATGCAGGCCTGCTTCTGCGGGGGAGAGGGCTGTGAGCTGGGGGTGTGCAGGCTGGCACGGCGTCCCCTCTGACCTCCCTGTGATGGGAGCAAGAGTCGCAGCTGGGCTGGGCTAGAACGGCTCTCCCAGGAGATGGGGGCTCCAGGGGCAGGAAGGACTCCTGCTGTCTGACTGACCAGTCTCCTGAGGCCGGGGCTCAAAGGGATGGGCAGTCAGGCGCCCGTGGCTCACGCCTGTCATCCCAGCCACTCAGGAGGCCGAGATCTGAGGATTGCGGTTCAAAGCCAGCCTGGGCAGGAAAGTCCGTGAGACTCTGATCTCCAATGAACCACCAGAAAACTGGAAGTGGCGCTGTGGCTCAAGTGGTAGAGTGCTTGTCTTTGAGCTGAAGAGCTGAGGGACAGCGCCCAGGCCCAGAGTTCAGGACCCATGACTGGACCCCCCCGCCCAAAAAAAAAAAAAAAAGAAGAAAACTAAGTTCACAAAGGCTGGGGATGTGGCTCAGAAGTGCTGGAATCAAACTGCAGTGTTGTTCAAAGAACAGAAAAGTAGACATTGCTGGCCTGTCTCCACGGCCGCTGAGTGACTCAGAATACCAACAGATGACGTCCAACCGGGGCCGGAGGGAGGGCCGGGGGAGGGCGTGTGGAGGCAAGCGAGGGAAGGGAGGAGAGGGCTGGAGGGCCGGGACATGGCGGGGGACAGGGCGACAGGGGGACCCGGGTACCTGCACGCCGACCTCCTGTGGGTGCGCCTGCATGGCCTGCAGCACTGCCAGGGCCCC